TAATGAATATAACAATGATAACTTACTAATGACAAAAACAATAATGAAAATTGGTAATAATAAGACCAACAATGATATTGATAGTGATAATAAAAAATAGTAATATGATAACAATAGCAATGGTTATAACAAGCATAACAATAATAATAAGGATGATAATAATACTAATAATCATTACACTAACTACATCTTCATAATCATTATAATGCCGATAATTGTGATAATAATTGTTAATAGTGATCACACTGATAACGATGATAATGAAGATAACGACCGAAAGGATCATGATAATTATTTGTAAATAATTATGCTGATAAATTGATATAGATAGTGATACTAATATCAACATAAATCATAACGACAAGAATAACGATAGTAATAATGATGATGATAAGATGATAATGATAATGTTAATAATAAGAATGATAATGATAGCAGTATGATGATAATAACAGAAATAATGATAATAATTATAATGATAATGTTCACGATTGTACTAATAAGGATGATGATAACGATACTGATATTGATAATAGTCGTAAATTTCATAAAAAATAATGATAATTATGATAATAATGATAATAATGATAGTGACAATACTACTAATAATAATGATAGTAATAGTGATATAAATAATAATGATGACAATGATAATAATATTGATGATTATGATGATAATGATAATGACTATTACAATAGTAAAAGTACTACTAATAATGATATGAATTACTGTCTTTATCATCATGGTAATTTTATCATGGTGATATCATTATCATTTTTATTACCACTTTTATCACCATCATAATAAAAATAATCATCATTCTTAACATCGATATGATTATTGTCTTTTTTATTAAATAGTAATGATATGAATTACTTGTCGTTATTATCATGGTGACATTATCTTTATTATTATTACCACTTTTATCACCATCATAATAAAGATTATCATGATTCTTAACATAGATATGATTAATGTCATTTTTGTTAACATTATTATAATCATAATTATCGTTAAATTCCTTTTACTGTTACTGTCGCCCGTAATTATCCTTATTTTCACTCATCAACAGTTTCTTTACGGTGACAATTCTAATGAAACCGATGAACAGATCACTTCAGGCAATAATAACTAATCTCGAGACTGCACGTGCACATTGCCCGATTATGCAAGCAGTGACTCCTGACCTGGCGTGTTGCAGGGCTTCCTGGGGCGCCCCAACAGCGGCCTCAGGCTCTTCGTCGACTCCCCCGAGGACTCGCGCGAGTTCCTGTTCCGAAACGCCGGCGGCCGAACCACCTTCCCCAGCCGAGGCTTCCAGCAGGGCGTGACCAACTTCGGCAACCAGGGCTTCAGGCCGAGGCCGAACCTCCGGCTGGATCTGGATCTCACGCAGGAGGACCTGACGACGGAGTTCAACTCGCGCGAGCGGTTCTTCCCGACGGCTCTGGGCGGAAGGCCCTTGTCCGTGGGCGGAAGGACGCAGGTCAACCGGCCGAACCCCTTCAACCAGGGCTTCAGGGGCAGGCCCAACTTCCAGGTCGAGTTCGACGTGACGGAGGAGGACCTGACGAGGGAGTTCAACTCGAGGGAGGTGTTCCTGCGAAACTTCCGCGGCGTCGGGAGGTCCTTCTCGAGCGCGACGGCCCGCCCGCAGGTCGCGCGTCCGAACCCCGCCGTGCAGGCCTTCAGGCCGACCCAACGCGTGGAGATCGACGTGACCCGCGAGGATAACTCGCGCGAGCTGTTCCTCCAGAGCGTCAGGAACACCGGCACCCTCGGCCGTCCGGCCATCATCCCCAACCGCACCCTCAGGCCGCAGGGCGCCGTGCGGCTCGAAGTGGACGTGACCCGCGAGGATCTGACGCAGGAGTTCAACTCGAGGGAGGTCCTCCTCCAGAACTCGGGCTTCGGGAGGGCCCTGCCCAACGCGAGGCCTCAGGGCTTCCGCACGAGCCCGCCGGCACCGAGCTTCCCGCCCAGCCCGCCGAGGCCGGCCTTCCAGCCCCGGCCCGGCCTGCGGGTGGAGGTGGATGTGACCCGCGAGGATTTCGACGACTCGCGCGAGCGCTTCCTGCAGAGCCTGGCCAACCGCCCCAACTTCGCCAGCGCCACCGCCCGCCCGCAGGCCTTCCGCCCGTCGCCCGCGGTCCAGAGCTTCCGGCCGCGCCCTGGCGTCCGCGTCGACTTCGACGTGACGAACGAGGACATCGACGACTCGAGGGAGCTGCTGCTGCGCCCGACGGGAGGCCGCGGGAGGTTCCAGGCGGGCGCCTCCAGGACGAGCAGCTTCCGCCCTCGGCCGGTGCTGCAGCTGGACGTCACGACGGAGGACCTCGACGACGACACCTTCGAGCTGTTCGATGACTAGGGCGGCCGCAAGGGCGCCCGCACGCGGGGGCGCCGCGCCCTGTCGCTGCAGCGCCGCGTTGTTGTGGTGTATATTTATCAAGTCAGTTTATATATATTATCTATTGAGCTTTAGGAGTAAGATTAATG